CAGGTTTTTCGGGAAAGAAGACAGAGTTCCATGATGACATCCCCAACCTGATGAGCCGTTACAGCCTTAACAGAGTGTCCTCCGTAAGAGTAATGGGCGGAACGTGAGTACAAATTCACTTATGTTAAAATACTGAGCTATGTATTCTGTTCTGTGTATATATTTAGTGTTGTGTGCACATTTCCCATCTCTCTCTCCTGACCACAGCTGGGTGGCGTACCAGGAGCCTAACTACAGGAGAGCACATTACATCCTGGAGAAGAAGGACTACAACAACTTCTCTGACTGGGGTGCTCAAAACAGCACCATTGGCTCAATTCGCCGTGTCCGCTTCAGCTAAACAAAACCCCCACATCTGTCAGCTCTTTAAACAAACAATATGCCAGCCCCACAGAAGACCTATTTGAGTAATAAACTGATTATAAAGACAAATATTGTTGTTTGTGCTTAAGTTCAAACAGGAATGACACAATTCATCAGGTATCATAAAAATGAAAAGTTCTTCAACAGCTTTTCAGATGCAAGAATGAGCGTTGTGTTGCCCTCTGGTGGTAAAACACACTTCTGCAATGTCAGCCTGTCTGGTCTACTGTTACCTGGTATGCCAGAGCAACCACCATCTTAAGATAGTCTTGTAGCACAGCTTCAGGATTGTTCCCAGGATGCTACAGCACTGTTTCGTCCTGCCCTGATGGGATGTGGGATGCTTATAGGAACTGTGAGCTCACGGCTTTGCCGTCTCTTCTATGATCCGAATCCTTTAAAGAGCAGCTGTGGAGCTCATCTGTGTATATTTGAGCATACGTTGAGGAATTCACACGGGCTTTAGCTCTGTGTTGGACTGACAGACACATGCTGTCGTGCTCTCTAAAGGCCGGTGAGGTATTTCTGTGGGTCGTGGGAGTAGCAGTTGCTGTGCCCCTGTCGTGCCGATGACATTGTGCTACATCTCTCTCACGGTCACCACAGCAGCCTGGAGGTACCCACCAGTGTAGGCACAGAGGAGGGGCAGAAAGAACGCAAACTGGTTTAGGACAATGTCTCGCAGAGAAGGAAGTACAGGGAATGAGAGAGAGAGAGCAGAGTGAAATGAGATTTATGTGATTATAAACAAATGTTTGACACAACCATTATGTTAACTAGTGGCACTTTATTTATTCTATAAACTAGTGTTACAGCTAGTATTGTGCTCATTAGTGCTGATTTCACTGTTACCACTGCTGTTGCTGCAGTTACTGTTGCTTACATGAAAATGGTTCCCTAGAATTTGGAGTTTAAAAAAATAAAATAAATCCAGTTATGTACAGTGAGACAGGAGTCTAGTGAAATTATAATATAGTATAATATTGTTACTTTTGTAATATAAATGAATATATAAGTGAACAGCAAAAACAACTTGATATTTCACAGAAATTCTGCTGATTTGATACAGTGCTGAGACATACAAATATGCCCTACCTTTCAAAAGTTTGGTTTCACAAAATATTTCTATTTTAAATAAATGTTTTTCTTTTGAACTTTCCATTCGTCAAAGAATCCTGAAAAAATCCATCATTGAATAAATTACAATTTAAAATATATGTTAAAACAAGACAAAAAACAACTTAATATTTCACAGAGATTCTGCTGATTTGAAACAATGCTGAGACATACAAATATGCCCTTCCTTTCAAAATTATGGTGTCACAAAATATTTCTATTTCAAATAAATGTTTTTCTTTTGAACTTTCTATTCGTCAAAGAATCCTGAAAAAATGCATCTTTGAATAAATGACAATTTAAAATACGTTAAACAAGACAGTTACTTATTGTATTTCTGATCAAATAAATGCAGTCTTGGTAAGAATAGGAAAATTTAAACCTTAAAAATCTTACCAACTTCAAACCTTTGATCAGTATAGTGTATGTGTAAGCAATAGAAAATGAGCTGTTTTGCTCTTACATTTTAGGCCCATGATTTAAACAGAACAAATAAGAACGCATACACAGTACGTTGTTTTTTTCGGGAGTTCAGGGCAGGAAGTCCATCACAAAACTTGTTCCCTCTGTATCACACATGCACACAAACAAACAGTCAGAGTCTGACCTTGAAGGTGGCATGGCCTGTTGAATGGGAAGGATCCTATGTTTCTTTCCCATAAGCCAGTTGGTCACAGATGAAATGGTAAACTAATTGACCACCCATACTCAGCATTCCTCTTGCTTGAGTTCAATCCCATAAACACATAGGCCTACACAAAAACATATACATCCACACACGGCAACTTGTAAGTCATGTTTTAACAATCAGAATTTGAATCCCTCTTTCTCTGAGTGTGTTTATATGGTATGCATGTTTACACTTACAAACATACCACACACTGGTTGTACTGTAAAAGCTGTTTGCTCTCTTTTCCTGTTCTCTCTGTGATTGCCTTTACTGTAATTCATAAGCCAAACTTCACAGTCCTCATGTTACATAATTACAGTACTACGTGACAGAGGGCCAAACAAGCACACACCTCACAGTACAGCACACCTTAATGGCAGTTATTATCTCAGTCTGGTTTGGTTTCGTTCACACAGTATCACACAGAGTCTTTAAATCCTTAGGTACTTCCCTAAGAAACAGCTTCTGTCCATGTGTGACCCTCGATCTTCAGCAGTGTGACAGTAAAAACTGACATTCACTCACACTCTCTCAAGCAAGGCAATAACAGACATGAATGTCACTCCACCTACTTGATTTAGGCCCTAGAGGAAAAGTACATTGACACCAAAGAGATTTAGTTTGATCATTGAATTTACAACAAAATGAAGAAATAGCATGCAAAATATGAATGCATTAAAAAAAATATTCAGATTTTGCCTGTTTTCCCTCATTTTCTATAGCAGATATATTTTTGAACATTTTAAGTTACAACTAAATTGAATGTTGTAAGTATCCTAACATATGTCATACTATATATCCTCTGTGTTTTGACTCATTTGCAGCATAGATATCACTCCATCAATGCACAATGTTCTTGCGCTCTCAGCAATTTTGCTTGGTCTATGTTACAGAAAGATGATCTCACCAGAAAATACCCTGCAAGGCTTAAATGCAAACTCTTTCATGTCTGTCAAGCTATTTCAGTATGATTATCAGGAAAATCTTGATGCTACATGCCGCTTTGCAGAGTGGCGTCTTGTTTCAACATGTTTTTGGTCCTTCAGTCAACAAAGAAGGGAAATGCCTGGGGAGACTGCATGCTCAATGCTAATGGCATATCTATGTTTGAAGGAATTTCTCCATTATCTGATAACAATATCTGATAGGAGGCGCCAAGAAAGGTTTTACTGGGGTATGTTTGCTATAATGCCAGTAAAATGTCTTTAATTGCTTTGATGTGAAATCAGTGGACATTTGAACACATTCTACTTTTAACTGTTGGTACAATTACAAAAACTAGTTTTACTCAGCAGTTCTAATTATCTTCAAGCACTTAAAAAAATCTAATGGTTTATTGAAAATTTAAAGACAGAAGAAGCTTGAAAAGCATAACAGTTTCCAAATACTTGTTACTATTCTGCATGTAAATACTGCCATGAGATCTGAACATAAATGTTGTGTTCTTTGCATCAAGGCTCTTTGTTTGAATTTTCAGGATAGAGACTCATGAACTCATGTCTAGGTGGACACAGGGACGGCCAGAGGCTTTGACCACAGTCAATAACAAAGAGCTCTGGAATCTTTTGTCTTTTGTCCCAGGCCCTGGTATGAACTCAAAGCTTTGACAGGCCACCACTGTGGCCACCTGTGAACCACAATTATCACCAATGCTCGCACACATGCACACTGGACCAATTAAGCATCCCGTGCACTCACCTCCATTCAGCCAGCACTAACACATTTGCAGTGATGCCAGGACTGACTCCCTCACTTCCCTCTCACTCATCAGTAATGACTCTTTGAGCAATGTGTGTGTGAGTATGAGCTGAGAGGTATTTAAAGGGTTGCCAATAATTACATAACACAATTCCTGCCATACAGATATAAATTTTTTTTTTTTTTTTTTTTTTTTTTTTTTTTTTTCAAAAGTTTAAAAA